ACATGGGTTGGGTAAACGCTTCTATAGTAAAGCAACTGATTATAGTCACATGGTTTGATATAATGATCGCTGCAAATATGTCCATCTTTGAAATATATGTATGTGTCCAAAGACAGGATTGATTGCTTGCTATTTGGCATTCAATTATAGACCAGCTACCAAAGGATTTACTGTCTTCAAAACCCAGTGATGGATGTCATAAATTTCACGTATAAATTGTAGCTGGTGGCACATGGATTTTTAAATAATTAGTATCAACCTTTACCTCAACCTAAAAGTGTGCAGGGGTCAGGAATATTTATTATATAACAAAGTGTATATAATGCAGTAGGAAGGTAGGCTATGTAACTTACAGTATAGTGTATATAGTGCAGTGGTCAGTACTATGTAATGTACAAATAGCTTAAAAAGTGTAGTGTGAAGGATATTGCAATGGATGGCACAGCATATAGAATGCAATGTTCAGGACGAACCACTTGAGCCCTGGAAGATTTTACCACCTTCATGACCAGGGCATTTTTTGCTATTTGGCACTGTGCTGCTTTAACTGGCAATTGCATGATTATGCAACACTGTACCCACATGAAATTTATATATATTTTTTTCACACAAATACAGCTTCTTTGGATGATATTTGATCACCACTGGGTTTTTTATTTTTTATTATATAAACAAAAAAATACAGAAAATAAAAACAAAGCAATATTTTCTATTTTCTGTTATAAAACCTAGAAAAAAAATTTTTTTCATTTAGGCCAAAATGTATTCTGATACATGTCTTTGGTTAGAAAAATCCCAATAAGTGTATATTAATTGGTTTGTGCGAAAGGTAAAGGGTTTACAAATGATAATATCTATATTGGAATTGTTGGGCAGGAACTGACTAAATGATATTGACATCTCCAGTGATACTAATACATTGATCAGTGCTGATACTATACACTATCACTGTACTAATAACACTGGCTAGGAAGGGGGTTACATCTAGGAGCAATCAAAGGGTTAACTATGTGCCTAACACTATGTAATGTGTGTAATAAGTGCTGCTTTTACCGTGCAATGTGTCTATTTTATCTCCCTGCTTTGCAGAGAGAAAAAAACAGCCACTTTGCTGCTCTTTGTTTAGAGCCCTATGTCCTTAGTAAACACAGGTCTTTGAACTGTCATTCGCTAAACCGATCAGCAGATCTAGGCCATACATCATTGGCCGAGCCCTGTTGATTGGCTTGTGCTGTAGCAAATGACAGCAAAGAAGGGGCAGCATGTGCATGCCCCCTACCCAACAATGCCAGATCACATATATGCTTGTGATCTGGGGCAGCGGAGCCGCTCTGCCGAAATAAAACTGCGGTAGGCGGTCTGCAAGCAGCTATGTAATGCAACTGGAGAGTGCAAAATCTGGTGCAGCTCTGCATAAAAACCAATCAGCTTCCAGGTTTTTTTGTCAGCCTAATTGAACAAGCTGAAGTTAGAAGCTGATTGGCTACCATGCACAGCTGCACCAGATTTTGCACTCTCCAGTTTAAGTAAATTAACCCCAATGTATTTACAACATAGCATTGTTGAGTGCAGAGGGTAGGACTATATAATGTACAACATAAGCAAGAGCACAAGGGAATGCACATTTTTGTGGCTGATTTAATAAAGGATTTGAGAATATTCACACAATCAAATGCATAAATCATGTAGATGATATAAGCAAACAGATTATTTATTTGTATGATTGGATAATTGAAGTAAATCTTTTGTTATGTGAATATACTGTATATCATTCATCTCCACCAATACCCTCTCTGCTAACATTGTTAATATAAATTCTAATAGAGGAAAATGTATGACTTGGGAAAAGTAGTAAAACATCAGGTTAATCACAATTAAAACATCTGTGTGGGAGGGGTAAGGAGTCCAGACATCAATTTATTTCCTTCATCATGGGAGCAACAACAGAACATTAAAGATCCTCCTAATGTATATAAAATGATGGGTATATGTAAATCATTACAGCAGTGATTCAGTAAATTGCTTTTGGTAATGCTGAAGAGGAGGTAAATGATTAAGTTAGGAGATTTAAATCTAAGAAAATAACATTACAGTGATATGATTATGTATGCCCATTCCTGATTAGCTGGTAGAGTTTAGTATTTCACTACAATACAGATATGAACATGGAACCTCATCAAGCATAGCAGGGCAATATTGCTGCTCATTTGGCCTACCTTCTGGCACTAATTCCCGTTTAAAAAATAAGAGACAGCTGTACATACAAAGGAAGCTGGCAGAGGAAAGCTTGGGGTATGGGAAATTTAAGGTTAAATTCCAACAGTTATTTTTTTAGGGGATGGCTTGCTACCAGAGATCATGGGATAATGGCATGAACAGATTTATTGAAATGTAGATTGGACAACACAGTATGTTTGGGAAATGAGCATTGAAAGCAAAACCTAAACATCAAGAAGAAGAGAATTTACAGTAAACACAAAAGAATGCCAATAAAAGGAGCTTTACATACATCTTACAGTTCCTGCTACCTAGTGGGTTTGGTAAACAAGCCCCCTAATGTCCTACAGATGTCTGTCAATTGGTATCAGATGTGTCAAAGATGTGTCTTTGAGGATCAGTCACTCAGAGAACTTGTGACACCCCTTGTGGTTCATTCGGTAGTTATTTACATTGAGAAAAGAATAGTAATTCATGCCAGAGTTGTGGCATCAAATTCTAGTTTAGCATTTCTTTGTTCCTCACTTGCTCTGTGGTTGTTACTAGTTTCAAAATGAGCTTAGCCTTGCCTACCATTAACAGCTAGATTATGAAGCAATTCATAAAATTTGGATTACCCTCTAAAATTGTCAAATGTGAATGGAATCTCTCATAAACATTGAGGGAAGAGAAAGTAAGGCGTCACGTTGTGTATGGACAACCTAACATAACCCATGGATTGGGAAATTTGAACCACTAAGAGACTCATTTTCCCCTAGACACGAATTAAAATTTAAAGGCCAAGTTCACTTTTTTTTTTTTTTTTCAAATCCAGCTCCCCTGTGCAAATATGTTCAAGCTCTCTTTGATCTGGAGAGCAAAGCCTTACCTTAGCCTTTGGTAAATTTCATAGGAAGCTTTTTCAATTCCTGGAATGTAGACAGAGGACAAAGGAGCCAGTAGGACCTCGGAAGCAGATTACCAGCTGATCCCATGCAAGCTATGTGTGCAGCCCTGTCCTGATCTGCCCTGCTGTCTGTCCAGAGCCTTGTCTTACCCAAGCCTGGGTGAGGAGCGGAGCCTGGGTGTCCTGGTGGTGGTCCAGGTGGCAGCTGAAGGAGGTGTCAGTGGAGCTGGACCTGTGTACCTGGGAGAGATGGCATGTCAGTGAGGCTCGGCAGCATCGGAGGAGAAGGGGACAGTGAGAGCGTCCCTGTGACCACGTATGTGACTGCCCATGTGACTTCCCAGGTGACAGCCCATGTGATGGTTGATGGCAAATTTGAAAGTGACAAGCTGTCCCAAAGTCCAGGAAGTGCATGAGGGAGAGAGGGAGGGAAGGATGGAAAGGGAGAATTATACAGGAGATCGTTCCTTGCCCTTTCAAAAGTCATTGGTACCCTGGGTTGGAGGACAGAAGAGACTAAGAGAAGAAAAAAATATATATACACCATAGAGATGGGGGAGGTCAATTTTATGACTTAATGTTAAGGGACTGAATATATGGGGGGAAAAGGCATAAGATCCTTAGAGAATTATAACAATGATCTATTGGAGTAGCATTTTTACACATTTGTTACAGGAAACAAATGTAAAATTATATTCTAGATATTACCCAACCTGGTATTATGCTGATTCACCTATCAAGCGGGCAGTCAGTATAGCTAAGAATTTAAGATTTTAGTTGGAGGAAAGGTTGGAGGATCCTGAGGGGCGGTTTTTGTTTCTGAAGGGGAGATTACAAGAGATTGAGTGCACATTGGCAAATATTTACTGCCCCAATAGAAATCTGGAGGCCGACCTCAAGAATATACTGGGAAGACTGTTGGATTTCAAAATGGGCAAATTGATTGTGGCAGGAGATTTTAACTTCTGCATAGATCCGCAGGTTGACACAACGTCGTGTGTGCAGAGAGAGGAAGGTAGAAGTCGGAAGGCAATGCGAATAATGCTATATCAGTGTCAATTAGTAGATATCTGGAGGATTAAACATCCTAGAGACAGAGACTATACGTTCTACTCTCCGGCCCACACTATGTATTCAAGATTAGATTATATTTTGTTGGAACATAGATTAATGGAGTCATTGGCTAAGGTCAATATAGAAGGTACAACAATATCTGATCATGTACCAGTTACAATAAAATTATTATGGGGAAAGGAGCAGGACAGGATAAACATGTTGAGGTTAAATGAGACACTTCTTCAGGATCAGGACACGCAAGAAATAGAGCAGTTCTTCGAAAAAAATGAGACTGAATGAGTGTCAGTGGCCACGGTCTGGGAAGCCCATAAGGCATATATCAGGGGCATATTGATAGTGATTGGGGTAAAAAATAAAAAAGGAATGGCAAAAGAAAATCAATATGCTAGTAAAGGAATTATATGAGCTGGAACAGTATCATAAAAAGAGAATAACATTAGACATACAGCAGCAAATAATAAAAAAAGAGAGAGGCATTAGACAATTTAATGGATGAAAAAGTGAGAAAAACTTTCATAATGATGAGAAGAGAGAGATATCAGTGGGGGAATATGTCGGGTAAATATCTAATGAGAGCACAAAGAAAGAAGAAATCCAGGAATTATATCGAGAAAATTAAAGATGACAATGAAGAACTGATGTATTCGACCACTGATATCGCTAAGGTATTCAAAAAATACTATAGTAAACTATATGACATAAATCAGAAACAGTCAAGAGGCGGAGGAAGGAAAGAACAAAACAGAGGCAAAGGCATTTAACCACCGCCCGCCATATAGTAATATGATGGGCGCAAGGTGGTTCTCTCGTTCTGGGAGGATGTCATATGACGTCCTCCCATTCTCACTGCGCATGCGCGGCAATCGGCGGTGCGCTGTGTCCCTCGGACACAGCGGATCACCGATCACGGAAAGAGCTGAAGATCTTGGCTCGGTCATGTGATCAGCTGTATCCAATCACAGCTGATCACATGTAAACAGGGAAATGCTGGTTATCGGCATTTCTCTCCTCTCGAGCTGTCACGCTGACAGCTCGAGAGGAGAGGAGAGCCAGTAATCGGCTTTCCATGGAGGGGACATGTACACTGATCATCAGAGCACTGATGATCAGTGTAGCCCCAGCAGTACCACCTGTCAGTGTCCATCAGTGCCTTATGTCAGTGCTCATCAGTGCTTCGTGCCAGCGCCCATCAGTGCCACATCAGTGCCACATATCAGTGCCTACCAGTGCACATCAATGCCACATATCAGTGCCCATCTGAGCTGCCTTTCAGTTTCACCCATCAGTGCCAATCAGTGCCACCTATCAGTGCTGCCAATCAGTGCCACCTATCAGTGTCAGTCAGTGCTGCCTATCATTGCCTGTCAGTGCCGCCTAACAGTGCCTGTCAGTGCCGCCTAACAGTGTCAGTCAGTGCAGCCTATTCGTGCCAGTCAGTGCGCCTATCTGTGCGGCCTATCAGTGCCATGTATCAGTGCTGCCTTTCAGTGCCCCTCAGTGATGCCTGTCAATGCCCATCAGTGCCACCTACCAGTGCCTCCTATCAGTGTCCATCAGTGCAGCCTATCAGTGCCCATCAGTAAAGCCTCATTAGCGCACATCAGTGAAGGAGAAAAATCACATATTTACAAAATTTTATAACAAAAACTAAGAAAAAACTTTTTTTTTTTTCAAAATTTTCAGTGGTTTTTGGTTTAAGAAAAAATAAAAAACCCAGAGGTGATTAAATACCACCAAAATAAAGCTTTATCTGTCACAAAAAAATGATACAAAATTTCATATGGGTACAGTGTTGTTTGACCGCGCAATTGTCATTCAAGGTGTGACAGCGCTGAAAGCTGGAAATTGGCCTGGGCAGGAAGGGGGTATAAGTGACGGGTAGGCTGGTGGTTAAAAGGAAGCAAATTTTCTGATTTTAGAGGAAGACCGATTAAAACATCTAGAAAACCTGATAACGCAGGAGGAAATCCAAAGGGCCTTGAAGGAGATTGTTGCTGGGAAAAGCCTGGGGCTGGATGGGTATACAGTGAGATATCACAAAAAATTCCAAGAACAACTAGTCCCCAAATTAAGGATATATATGAATGCATTAGGAGAAGGGATGGAGATGAGGGAGGAGTCATTACAAGCATATATTACGCTCATATTAAAAGAGGGGAAATATGGGACCCAATGTGCTAGTTATCAACCTATTTCACTGTTAAATATAGATACTAAACTGTTTGCAAAGGTACTAGCAACCAGATTGAAAGCTCTAATGCCCCAGTGGATTCATCTGGACCAAGAGGAATTTGATCCCGGGAGAGAAGGAGGGAGGAGATAATGGGTTAAGGTCGTTACTCCTTATACAGAAAAGTAAGAGAGAAAAACCCCCTGTACTGGTTTTGTCAGTTGCTGCAGAGAAGACTTTTGATAGGGTAGATTCGGACTTTATGTTAGACATGTTGGAGATCTTGGGTATTGGGCCCAAGATGAGAGAATGGATAGGAAAGCTTTATAGTCAACCTTCAGCTGCAGTAAAGGTCAATGGGTCACTATCAGAGTTCTTTAGGATGTATAACGGGACAAGACAAGGGTGTCTGCTTTACCTCTGTTGTTTGTTCTGTCCCTAGAACCCCTCTTGGTAACAGTAAGAAACAGTATAGATATAAAAGGGATCCGGACAGGGGAGATAGAACACAAAGTGGCAGCATGTGCAGATGATATGTTGTTCTATGTGGCTAATCCTAGGCTAACACTACCTAATTTAATGAAAATAATGAAATGCTATGGAGCAATGTCAAACTTAAAAATGAACCCGGTAAAGTCATAGATATTAAATATTAATGTCCCGATAATGGAAAAAGAAAGCTTGCAAAGAGAATTTCCCTTCTTATGGGGGGAAAGAGAATTAAAATACCTGGGGATTAAATTGGCATTCTTAAAGAATTTATATAAAATAAACTATATCCCACTAATAAATGAGATAAAGGAGGAACTGAGATGATTGTCAGTAGGACCATCCTCTTGGATAGGACAAATAAGGTACCTGGCGGTACCTCTAGCAGCCCACTGGTTAGGTTTCCCCAGAGTGCGGAGTCTAAGTCCCAGTAACGCTTGTTCACCAGGGCCCCTGATGGTGGGGATGGACTTTCAGCGAACCAAGACCAGGTCGCGGCTCCTGAGTACACCCTCCCGTGGTAGAGGGATCCGCCAGAGGTTTCTGCAGGGGGAGAGCCTGATGTGAAGAGGCGGATATGCCCGAGCGAGGTGGATGGATGGATGGATGAGCAGGAGCGTGGTCAGACAAGCCGAGTCGGTAGCCATGGGAGCAGTGCGGTACAAAGCAGCGGGCAGAGAATGATCGGGTCACACGCCAGGTCAACAACAGAATCAGGTCCAATAGGGGGCACCCAGGAGAGAGGTCAGGCAAGCCAGGGGTCAGAGCAGGAGAATACAGCAAGGTCAGGGACAATCCGGTCAGCAACAGTCAGGAATCACGAAACAGCAAATCAGGAACACAGGGAGACCAAACGGCAACTCCTGTCAGTGCAGGGCGGTTTAAATACCGCGCCCTGCGCTGTCATTGGTGCCAGGCGCGCACCCGCGGCTTCGAGTGCACATGCACGGATTCCATCTCCGCAGCGGCCGGCCAGGACCTAGTGCCCGTACACTAGCGTGAACGGGCACAGAGCGCCTGCGCCGAGCCGCGGATCGTGGCGGCTCCTGACAAAATGATAATCGTCCCAAAAATCCTATATAGATTCCACATGTTGCCTATACAACTCCCGGGAGCCTATTTTAAAACAATTAGAAAAATGAAATTGAGATATATTTGGGGGAATAAAAAAACAAGAATAAGTTATGAAGTGTTATGTAGGGACAAGGATAAGGGGGGCCTAAGTGTGCCTGGTTTTATGAGATATTACTGTGCAGTGTTACTTTCACGTATTTTTGATTGGACATATAATGCACTAAGAAAAAGTTGGGTGAATTTAGAAAACGCATTAAGTGGGACATAATTGGATAAGATAGTATGGATTCCACATCAATATCATATATTATGGAGAAAGTATAAGCACTTACACACAAAGTGCAATTAGGGTATGGGATATGATTTATAAACAAATGGGGTGGGAGTTCAATTCTATGTTTATACCATTGATAAACACAGATACTGAAAGATGGGATAAAGTGTGTCACAATGAATCCGTGCCCTTTAGGAACACCCACCATTCATCATTTGCACTAATCACTACAGCACCATGGCATACTGTGTAATATACTTTCGTTAGCCAAAGAGCTCTGTGCCTACCATGAAAGGGCTACTTGGCTGTGTTTGCTCCATTGAACAAAGCTGCTCAGTGCTCATTTGCCATCTCATTCTCCACTACATTATACTGTTGAAATTTACAGCTTACACAGAGCTTCTATTTCATTTTAGGATCATCATTTCTTTTTCTGTTTCACAACTTCCCAGCCATGGCATACTGTTGTAATGTTGGGTACACACAAGACGCTTGTTTCGTTCAACCCATGGGGCTGAAAAAAACTTACAGATCGCTGTACTAACACATCCAATGTTAGCGCGTCGATCTCCCCGCTGAGCTATTGTGTTCTAACAGGGGGATGCCCCCCCACCAGGACACACTGATTAGCTCTCACAGCCTTTGGCTGCCAGTGATGAGCGGTTGGATGCTGATTTTCACAACCAGCATCTGTTGGACGAGGAGTTATACAAATGGGCCAAAAGTCAGCCGGTTCCTGCCGAACTGATCATTTTAGCCTAATTTTTGGCCCATGTGTACTAAGCTTAAGGGGAAAAATCGCAAAGAGGTCCTAACATATTCAGATGTCGATTAGCAGTGGCAGCCTCTATATTAATTGCAGGTCAGCCATAGATGGACCCTTTTTTAACTTTTATTTTTGCTAGAGTGATGATACCTAAGTCACTGCAGAGGAGATTTAGACCTGTGACCCATTTGTAGCACACTGTCAGCTGACATCATTCAGCAGATCCAGGCTCTGGAAATGTCCCAACTTTAAAGTCAGGATCCATACAGATAGCTAGACTGACAGCTGTCTCAGCCACTCAGCAAGCCGCTGAGAGACTGAGCCAGATGCTCCCACCCCCTCCACAGGCCGGTGCTTGAGTGAGCACTGGAAGCACAGAGCAGAGAACTGGTGACTGATGGGGTTTGAGTCTAACGCCTCATGCACACAGGGCATTTTTGCAGCCACTTTTAGGGGAGTCAAGCGTTTTTTTTTTACTGCTTCCAAATAATCCTCTAGGTTATCCTAAGTGTCCATGCACACATAGACTTTTAGAAGCTTTTAGTAGCAGCAGCGTTTAACAACAGGGAAAATAACCTAGGGCCAGTGCGTTCAGAAGCAGTAATGTTTTGGCAGAAAAAATGCTTGACATTACTAAACGCATCTAAATGCATCTAAAAATGCTTTTGAGTGTTAATTCATTTCAATGGCCAAAATAAATGATCATTCTGGCCAATTAAATGAATTAACTCCCAAGAGTTTGATGCTTGTAAACGTGCCTAAAAGCGTTAGATCCTTTTACAAGCGTCAGGTCTTTTTTCTGCAAAAATGTTGCTGCCAGGAGGACAGCACTAGGAGAGTTTTTTTAATGTCTTGTCTGCATGAGTCAGCAGGGGACAGATGCAGCACGGATCGATGCTGCAGCCATCTAGGTGAGTATGAATGTTTTCGTTGCATATCTGAACTTCTCTTGTAATGTTTTTCAAAAAACACATTCATTATACTCTTTCTGCCAGCAATAATCTACACTTGTTCAGCATGTTACTACATTTGTGTTAAACACTATTGTTATGAGAAGGCTCAGTTTATGTTATACTGCTACAGGGTGGCATGGGTGTGCACAATCATGTATATATAGGTGATTTTGCAGTTCCGGGGCGGGGCCTCACCTGTCAATCACCGGGTCCCAGCCGATGATTCCCCGCCGGCACCCTGGCGATCTCTGAGTATTATTGAAAGGGGAGAGACCTGTATGTAAACAATACAGATCTCTCCCCTATCAGCTCCTGCACACTGCTTTGATCGCCCCAGATGTTAACCCCTTCCTGCCCAGTGCCATTAGTACAGTGTCAGTGCTTTTATTAACACTGATCACTGTATTGGTATCACTGGGGATGTCAGTGACACCAAGTCAGTTTCCCCCAGTGTCCGAATGGCCGCCGCAGTCTCGCTATAAGTTGCTGATCGCCGTCATTACTAGTAAATAAAAAAAATTCCAGTATATATACATTTGTAAACACTATAACTTTCACGTAAACCAATTAATTTACACGTATTGGGATTTTTATTTTAGCAAAGACATGTGGAAGAATACATTTTGGCCTAAATTTATGACA